AAGACACAAGTGTCCACGTCATTCTTCTCTGGTGGTTGGCCTGGTACTGGGACTGGGAACATGAAGGCCAAGCAATGTGATTTGGACGAACTCGTGACAAGTCGTGCGTACACGTAGCGTAGAACATTACATTAACACGCGATTAGTCATAGTTTCTTTGCTTACTAGATATCTCGTAGCAAAATAGAACTGACAATAAGTTATCTTGAACTACACTTAAGTAAATTTCCAAGAAAATGGCTAAAGGCTCTAAACTTTGCAACACCCCAATCATGGTGCCCCAGCACCCTGGTTGAAAAACACTGGTGTATACAGTAATGCCATGTTTCGCTCCTTTATGCCAAATTTGGCTTTTTTTTTTTACTCTTTTGGTACCAAAAAATATTTTCTACTTTTTCAAACCATCTTCAACAAATAAAGTCACAGATTTCTTTTAGCTTTGTTTTGTTTAACCACTCGGATATATTGCTGCACACTTAAACTAATACAGTCCCTTCCTCATTTTATTTTGAAAATCATTTAGATTATTCATTTATTTTGTAAATAAATTTAATTTTATTTAACATTATTCAGTAAATTATTTTAAAATATTAACATTTAGAGATTTCATTTGCCTATTAATCCTTAACTCTGTAAATTATACAACCTTGACTCTGAAAAACATTAATACAAATTTTTGATAAAGCAAACTACAATCCCCTAGCAATTCATATTAACATGAGTTGACCATATGCATAAAATATACGATTACTAAAACTTTTATAGGCAAACATTTAATTACACCTAACTGATAAAAAAATAAAAACATCTAGATTGTTGTAATCAGTTTTAGTTTTAGTGACATTTATTCCAAGGTTTAAAGATGTTATTCTCCAATTTCATATTGATTAATTCTCTATCACCTTTATTTTTAAAATAATATTGTTGGTTTAGACAAGCTGTTAAATTTTATAAAGTTTGATTGTTTCATTTTGACTCTTCCTAAAAATCTTGAAGACATTATTAATAAAAGCAAAAAATATCACTTGACTGAATTTTTACTTTATTTAATATTTATGAATGATATAAATTTCTAATGTAAATTGAGTCACATAACTAAAAATACTTACTAAAAATAAAAATTTAAATACTTTCAGGAAAAGTGAAAACACAAAAATTATTATTATTATTATTATTATTTTTTATTTTATTAAATTCTGATCACTAAATTTTAATACATTCATATCTTTAGCCCTAAACAAAATTTTTGGTATCTAACAATTTTTAACTTTTATATATTAAACACAATAAAAAAAAACTTAAATACAAACTTATAAATCACCACCAGAAACATATAAAATATTTGTTTATTCTTGTAATGCATTCTAATCCTAAAAATAAGCATATTCCTTATAGTTATCTTTTATTTATACAATACCACTATTGCATTTTGACACTCAAAAACTTGTTTGATAATGTGTAATTTTCTAATATTTTACCAAAAAAATAAACAAGTTTTGAAGACTGGTGAATAGATTACAACTATCGTTCAGATTAAATTAAAGATGTTTTAGTGGATATAACAAATAAAATAGTGAATAGCAAATAAAATATTGCTAATCACAGAATTTAATTTTAAGAATAAAATTCTGCAATTAGCATTTTATTTTAACATTATTATTATTATTAAAAAAATTTATTTACTTCTGACCCTCTGCTGTATTTTCCCATCTGTCGATCTTTTACCATCAAAATTTAATAGCACCAATTCCCTTAATACTCAAACTTTCCTGCAAAATATCAGAAATTTTCGACAAAAGGCACAGGAATTATTAAACTTCAAAGTGAGGGAACAAAATCGTTATTTCAATTCGAAAAGTTTTCTTCTGAACGGGAGATACATAACGGCAGGACTCTGTTGATAACGAATAAAGTATGATGTACAGGGGCAAACACTTCTAAAAAACTCGAGAAACAGGGTGAACATGTCACAATAAATAGAGTTAAGAAATTACTATTCAGAAATGAAAAAAAAATCAATGTGGAAAATACTTATACTTTTCATATACTTTCACAGGGTTAGACACTTTCCACTCCACACAAGTGTTATATGCTATTTGTGGCAGAAATGGCGTAATAGCGCGTCTGTTTCGCTCTATATCATTGTCCCAGTAATTAAGTGAATATAATATATATATATATTTTTAATTAAATCCTTTTTTGTATGAATTATATTTAGTTTATTATGTTTTTTAAATTTTGCCAATAGATGACACTATGTGTAAAATCACCAAATGAAATGTAGACCGAAATTAATTAATACATATAAAGAAATTACAATGGAACCTCATTTAATGAGCGTAATTCGTTCCAGAATGTTACTTGTTAAGTGAAACAATTTTTCCCATATAAATTAATGTAAAATATGATAACACGTTCATTGTTGAAATCTATT